CACGTCGACAGAGAAGTACCACTGCTCTGTTTATCAAAACCGTAGAAAATAACACACTTAATGTCCGTAATGAAAATATGTAGCTCTGATTCAGCTCAAAAAGTGAAAAACAGGGATCCTAGCAGTGCAATAAAATAGTTCTGTTTTCTTCTCAGTTATTTTCCAAATTACTTTTTTTTTTTTTTTACCAAATTCCACTTTTCCATTTTTAATTTTACCGATTTCCACTTTTCCATTCTAACCACATTTACTAACCCAAAATGTGTTCAACTATGAAATTAAAGCAGCTCAACAGATCCACGCCCAGATGTCCACATTTACTGTCATAAATATAACAAACTGCAGTGGTTCAACAGAACAAGGTGTTTAAGTATTTTCCTGTCTTTTTTTTATTTTAAACTCAAACAGTGCAAAACTAAAAATCTGTTTTCACATTTCATGAAAATCTCCCTTTTTAAAAATGCTTATTGAGACATATGGAGACATCTCCAGTAAAACACACGACTGTTTTTGTGTTTAGCACTCATGTCCTCGCAGCCTTCTGTTTACATTGCTTAACCAAAAATAAGTTGTTGGTTGTTTTTCTTTTCCCCTAAAAGAATATCTGATTCAGCACACAGCAACAAAACCTTCACAAAGTCTCTCCTCACTCCTCCTGATGTATTTGAATGTTGGAGAATTAGCAGGTGTGACCGGCTCCTGCTAGCTTGTGGCTTATCCATGTTTCTGATGCGACTCATCACATGAATCCTTACACCTCCAGTCCACCGTGTCCTGACAAAACTTATGGAAAAGTTTTCCTAGCCCCGAGCTTCACATTTTTAAAATATTTTTTTTAATTTTTCAGTTTTTTGGAGAAAGTCCATGTTTAAGAGAGTGTTTCAACTACGGCTAACTGGTTTATTCTGTCTGTTTGGAGGGTTGAGCCGAGCTGATTCAAGCCCCGCCCTACTAGACGGAAGCCCAAAAGGCCAAAATTCTGTGTAGCTTTTCCTGCAAATTTTGTGACATTTCTTCTTTTATTTGATTGTTAATGTCCGCGATTCTTTCAGGGGGAAATCATGACGCCCCAAACTGTTGAGACGTGTAACATTTATTGTGATTTTCTTTAACATTACTCATTGTATAGTACTAATAAAACCCTTCCTGTACCAGTGTACATGGGGTTGGAAACTCAGTAGTTTTTTTCGCTTCGTACCTAATGAAGCCGTCCTCTGCTGGATGTTTTAGACGGTCAGTGCACAGACAACTGGGCAATGAAGCCATACATTTGCCATCAGCAATTTGCTAATATTTAGAGGATACAGAACTCTTACAATGCTTGATAAGTCACCGTTCTCGTTGTGAGAGCATTACGTTGCCATGTCACAGCTGTGTTATCCTTCCAACAACTCACTGTTTTGATTGGCAGCCCAGACAGTTCAGGTGAGCCACTGCTCAGGGCAGAAAAATAAGTATGTGGGAAAAATACAGAAAAAAAGAGAAAAAAAATTATGCCAATTATATTGAAATATCCATTATTTTTGTTGTAACCTATATGATAACACTCCAGGGCATAACACTTCTCAAGTTAGAGACTGCCTGTGTTTTATTTCAGTTCCTCAGCTGGCTGTAGACGTCATGTGTTTTTATTCTCGTCACTCAAAAGGAGTTTTTAGAGTTGGATAAGTATCTTGATTTAGTGTTTTTTTCCCCTCATATTACAACAAACCAGTTAAATTAAATGAGTCCAGTGTAAGTTAACAGGTAGATAGAAAAATGACTTCCTGGAACTTATGAAAACTGAGGCAAATTAGAGTGAAGATGATGCACATTTGCATTCATCTGTGTTGCTAGCTATTTATTGTGAAATAATAATTTAGCAAGAACATTAGCAGTGTCCTTTGCTGTAATATACTCGGGACGGTGACTGACAGATTCCAGATCAAATTAAATCATCACAGCCACACTCTGATGATGCTAGATACGAGGTTTATTGTGAAGCGTTTGTTTAAAATGCCGGGAACATGGCGAGCAGCGCTTCCTGATGACCCAGCTGAGTCGGCCAGTGTGAGGAACATCACTGAGAGCCGATCCAGTTTGTAAATCCCAGCTGGTGAAAAGTTTGTTTGGGTTCTAATCGACGACAGACTCTGTGTTTTCAACCTCAGCTCACTGAGTGTGAAGCTCTGCTATGTGGTGTTTGTGCTGTGTGTGTAGGTGAGTGAGAAACCCATATTAACACATGTTATGTTAAATCTAGTTATAGAACTGCTGCATGTCCTGAAGCTAAAATGGCAGGAAGCAATTTGGCTTTCTGCTTTGTGCTTAAATTGTTCAAGTTTTCAGCAAACGTCTAAATTTACTTACACTTTAGCCACCTTGTCAGCTCATTACCTCAAATCACCCTTTTATGGACTAAAATTAGAAAATGAATGTGTTATATTTTGGCCAGTGAGTCTTTTTTTAATTTAAAGGTTTTTAACTTTGCAGAATATTAACAAAACATAAGCAACATGCCAATATTATCCCATCCCAACGCAAAAAAAACAAAAACAACAAAAAACACGAGACACAAAGACGACTGACAGCTATGAAATGTGGCAACCTTTAACATGACGAGGCAGAATTAGTACAATAAACTCGAGTTAAATTATCATGATGTCAAAGTAATTGCACAGAATATTAACAATGTATGTATAGAGATTTAATTGCTTTTGTTTAAAACTAAAACTCGATTACTATTTATCTGTAATCTTCATATATTGTGAGTTTGATTTGGTTGCATAAAGTAAACTATAGAATAGACATATTCTTAATTTAGTTTTAATGTGTGCATAAAAGTGATAGTTTGTACTTCTTTTTCTTAAACATTGTTTTTCAAAGTAGAATTTCTTGAACAGGTTTGGGGTTTTTTCTTTAGTGAGTTAAAAAAAATTAACTATATTTTAAACAGTTGACTAGCAGCGAGTGTGAAGTTGTGGCAAAACTGCTACTACTACTAATAACAGTAATAATAAATAATAATAATAATAATACATTTTATTTATAATGCCCTTTACATCTTGTGAGCTACAAAGGTCTAAAAACAAAACAAGCAAAACTCTACAAACTCCGTTCACTCGGACATTTTCTCTAGCGTCTCATTATTAAAACTCTTAAGTGAAGGAATAATATGATGGAAGATTTTAGCCATTTTAAAAGCATAAAATAGCTTTACACAACAATACGAAAGCCATAATCTTTGCCATAATTCTTCCTTTTAGTGCTAGAGGTTCACTCAGCATATATTCTTGTGTCGTCAAGTGTAACTCAGTAACTACTGTAACAGCAGATCTATAAAATCAACAGTGTAGAAACAAAAAGCAAAGAGCTGTTGTTAATTCATAAGAGAATCATCCTCCATTTTCTGGTCGTTAAACTGAAGCTTTAGTTAAATCAGACTTCCTGGCTTCCTTTGAAGGGGAGATTTAAGAGGAATGTAATACGTAGCTGAGAACCTAGTTTTTTCCACTTTCATCACTTATTGTATTTCAATGACTTATTTAAAACCCAATTCACTGTCTGTGTTGCTGAAACATCGCATACAGCTGAGCTAAAGTGGGTAATAAAGCCTGTGGCTGTGAGCTTTATTGTATTCAACTTGATATATTTAAATCAAGAGGTGGGACATGGAGCTGTCGTTTTCTCGCTGTGCGTCCTGTCTTGTATTTTGAAAACAAAGTGACATCTGCAGTGAAATCTTGAGCAACGAGCCTGGAGAGTTGACTCTGGAAGGTGTGGAGCATTCCAGCTCCGCACAATACTCCTCACTCCTCCGACTCAGTTAGCCGGGCAGCCTGGCAGACAGAGGTTGCCATGGCACCGCTTTGCACCGCTTTCCCCCCAGAAGGTGCCAGATTTAGGGAGTGGGGCAGGCTGGGCTAACATGTTGATTTAGACAAAAGATGTCTTTCCAGTGTCAGTAGAACGCTTAGTGGGAATGTTTTGGCTCTGTGGCAACAGACCAGGTGATGTTTTCAGTCGGGGTTATTTAGCGTTGCCAGGCAGGAGCCCGGCGGAAAGACACGGGAAGGAGAAGGGGAGAACTTTAACATGTGTGGCAAGAAAATTAGTTTTATCCTCTTTGATCGTCTCTAATTTCTCTTTAGCGTCAGAGAAAATGGCGGACAGGTCACTGATGAACCATACTGTTAGTGACTCTCACGCTTTTGGCTCAGATTGCGTCTGCAGACGTGTTGCTTTATTGAAGCTGACAGAAAACTTCAACAGAGAGGTCTCACTTCAGACTTTCCTTTGGTGCACTGCGGCTGCAGGAATATTCAGCAGCTTGTGGCTCTCTGGCAGCGCCACAGTTAATGTTAGCTGACCGTAGCATGCTTGATTACACTGGCATCTCTCTCAAGCTCTGCTCTCCCCTCTCTGCTATCTGCGGTCTTGGCTAAGTCAAGCTAACCTCTCCCCACATTGCATTTGGCCAGCAACGAGACTACTGTGGCGCTTCTGCGGCCTACTTTGGAATAATGACATGCAACACCACCATGCTGGTTATTATTATTATTAATTCACTCTGCCAAGGAGATTCTGAGGTTAAGAAGTTTTTGTCCGATATTTCTTCGGGGAAATTCCTGTAAAAGTGGGATTCGGATTGGTTTAGAGATGGGTGGAAATCCAGGATTTGTTTTTTTTTTTTTTTTTTTTTCAGCCTCGGAGGAGGTACGCATCATCATATTTAACTGCTGAGAAGTGCATCGTTTCTAAGCCGAGGCACGGCAACTCGAGAGTGTTCTGTAATTTGTGTTTAAATGCTTTTTTCCCATGTAGATCGGATGCCAGAACAGTTCCCGGCAGATTTCGTCATGTGATATTTTAGTTTTTCACCAGGACACTCCTCATAGAGTTCTCAGGCACTGCGGGCTTTTGGTTCAGGATTAAAACTGTAGATATTCAGCAGCAGAGGCCTACAGTTGTGTTCTGTTGTGTGGTATCTAAAAACAACTTTTTTCTCTCCTTTCTTTTAGGGCGGTGAACTTCCGATTTGTCTCGGCAGAAAGTCCTTGCCCAGTACACATTCATGGGTAAGTCAGCCCAGTCCTCTCTCCATCTGTTTGATGAACTTTGATTGTTTGCGTTGACTTTTAAGGAATTGTTCCAGAACTGTGTGAACGCTAAAGAGAAGAGTTGCTGCCAAAACACCCTCTAGCACATTCGGCCAGAAATGTTTTTGTGATGACGTTATTTAGTGTCACATCAGTACATCAGTAGCCTTTTGCCCAGTTATTTTGGTACTTTGCCCATGACCATTTGGCACAAACCCGTAGATCCGATCTTGTGGCAAATCTAACAGCACAAGCTCGCTTCTGTGGGTCTTTGTCACTGTGGTGTGAACATCGTCCTTTGACTTTTTGTTTGTTTTTCGTTTCACATAACAGACCCATAACGCGTGTGGAAACTGGAAGCTTGGTTGTCTTAGCTTTGTTGAAGATGGAGATGCACCGTGTGTTTTTACAAAGCTGCCTATTCAGAATCCTCTGATTTCAGAATCTCTTTGGAAATTTAAGAAGATATAAAATAACGACATACACAACACCTTTGTACCTTGAGTGGTCATTAATTATTTATATTTGGAGCAGAGTGTGAGAGAGCAAACGTTACAAAACAGGATTCTTTGAACATTTACCAACAAACAGAGCTTGCATTTTAAATTATTAGTACTCAAATTAGCAATTAGCGGAGTTAGGATAGTTAACATTAATGAAGCATTAATCTTTGTGAGTAATTCTGAGATTTCCAAAACAGTTTCACACACATCTCTTTTAAGTCTTCATCTCTTTCACACTCTTTGGCAATTATTTCAAGTTTTCTTTTAAATAGTTTCTGACTTCCTTTGTAAACATCTCAGTGGAGCTGAAAATGGCTAACTCTCCTCACTTTATAACAACTTCCACACCAAACAGCATTGTCGTCTTCTAAACTCCGTAGCATTTATGTGTGGTGCTTTCACCGATCAGAAAACATGCCCAGTCTGTGAATCGGGTCGGATCAGGGTGAAAAATGATCCCGGATCTCCAGCTGAATTCTCGGTGCATCTCCAGTTCTAGATCAAGAGTCTGCAACCTTTTCAAACCAAAGATGCATTTTTTGCCCTCAGTCCGGCTACATGAGACTAGTTTACAGCTGCAACTGTTACACACATTTTCAGAAATATCTACATGAAATTTCTCATTAAATAAACTATTTTATTTCTACTTATAGGTTTTACGATAGAGGAAAATATAAAACTTAAGCAACAAAAGGATGGATAAATATTATTCTATGTGATGTTGATGTTTGTGGAATTAAAGAAATTAAAGAAAAAAAAATACACATAGCTTCTAACCCAATAAATAGTCAAGTTAATTTTTTTAATAATCTATTTTTTATGTGATATTGTTGTGGAAACTGAATGCAAAAATCTAAAATCTGATAATATCTGCTTTTAAAACTACCTGTTGGTTCTTTATTAGTTTTGGCCAAAGTAAAATATCCCCTTTCAGCTCCAGGTCTGCAGGTTGCAGACACTTGATCTAGAATGTTCCCTGTGCTTAAGCATGAAATTTGACGATGCTAAAAATTAAAATAAAACAGAAAACAAATCAGTTTTTGTTGCATTTAGGGAAGGAGGGGCCCTTGTTGAAAATGTGTACATCCGGGTTGAGGTAGTAGGTTGTATGGTTTAGAATGATACCCTGGGAGTTAACTGTACAACCTTCTAGCTTTCCTTGGAGTACATGTATGACATCAACATGCTTAAACATCTAGGAGTGGCTCTTAAAAGTTTAATAAAACTGGAATGTTTGCCCATCTGTGCATCTCATGATGAAGGATCAGCTTTAAATGTGATCTACCGCATGATGCTCAAAACTTTTAATCAATATTTCATCTACATGTTTATGTGCTGTCATATCAGACATTACGCATCAGTTACACTGGCCTGTAAATATGCACAATAAAAACATTACTTAAGAACAAAATAGGTCCAGTTTTATGTAGAGGTGCACCTATCTGATATTAATATCTATCAGCCCTGATATTGAAAAAAATTCTAAATTGAGTATCGGTGACAATGTATCCAATGAATAAGAGTGGATCTATCCAGTCTAACTCTACGCTTTGTGCTCTGAGCAACGTCATGCTTTATTAGTTACTTTACATTATATTTAGAGTTCTTAAGGTTTGTCGCAGTTTATTCTTGACAAAGTTAGTCAACCTTTTGTTTTTGTCAGCTTTGGTTTCTTTATTATTTATTTTGGTTTGGCTGTTTTACTGCTACTTTCATTGACTGAATAAATTAAAATTGTGCTGTTTTTACATGCTTGACCAAGCTTGTGAAGCTATCGGGGTAATAAATGTGATCTCAAATAAATTTGTAAATCAGTTCATTTAAGTCTTTGTTTAAAATAAAAGAAACGTCTCAGATTTTTGTACTGGAAGTAAAACAAAAAGTGGATCGGTGCATTCCTGGTTTTATGCTTTAAAGTGAGATTTCTTTTAAAAATTTCTAAAATTATACCAATTTAAAAAACTATAAAAAAAGAAACCATGTGCACTATATACACTACACATAATGTGTTGTTTTAGCCAGTAAGGTGTTTATATCCTCCTGAACAGTTGACAATTTTTCCTCAGTGATCAAACTGGATGCTGCCTCATCTGTTTACGTTTCCTCTGCGCCTGGTGATGCATTGTCCACAGTTCTGTACGATGACCATTTGCGATGTGAGATCTGGTTTCAGGCTGAAGCTTGCATCTCTGTTTACTGCGGACGTGAACGCGGTGCGGCTGCCCGAGACTTCATCTCGACCACGGCCGCTTGTAAAATGACTCCGAAGCGGCACGCCGGAGAAAAATGGCTTGAAATTGTTTCTCTTCAGGGTGACTTGATCTGAAATGCAGCCTGTGCAGAGAGCGCTGGTCGTAATTCCTGCTGTAGTTCTTTATCATTGTGACAGAGTATTTTCACTTTGATGGATGGCGGTGTTTTCGCTATGTCTGGGGCCGCCGCTGACTGGACCGACTCGCTTAAAACTTTGTCATTTAAACAATTAGGTCAGGTTTCAAGTGGATGACTTTGCATCATTTTTTTGTGGTTGTTTGATGATCGCTTGGAACTGATTTGGCTTTATGTTAGTTGAAATTCAGCCCTTGATTTTATCAACAATATTCTCCTAATGGCTAGTGTTGAAACATACTCTAAGTGAAAGGATAAATCAAGCACAAAGACCCCTCAACGTAGCCCTCTGTTTCCTATTAGTGCAGATACTGAGCACAATGAAGCAGAGATCTTTGGGTTATCAGCAATGACAGCTAGCAATGCCAACAGTTTCAACCTGAATCAGCCTCAGATTGCCATCCCAGGCTTTGTCATTAAACCGGTTTCCGTGTGGGAATACGATCCTGGTGAATTCCCAGAAACCCTAGAAGCCCTTTTTATCCTGGATTTTTTCAACATCCCTGTCGGGAAGCTCTGCCTCCTCAGTCACCTAAACATCATCCGGCTTCTCGCTTACAAAAACAAAACAAAAAACGGTCAGAAGCAACTTCAAAAAACCCGGCTATTACCACGTGCAAAGTGCGGAAGGTAATATTTCCTTCAAAAGCAAATGTTGTGGCGTTATTTCATCACAGATTATTTCAAAGATGGAAACATCTCTCATCTTTAGCAGAGCAGAAAGAGACTCAAGCCGGGCCTTGCCAGTGTTTATTTTAAGACCTGCAATTACTTTTCATCTTTCTTCACCTCTGGACCTCAATGGCTCCTCCAGATGTGTGGAGGGAGGCTTTGCTGCTGCGAATCGTGCTGCCTCAGCACTCCCCTGTCCAGCTGCTCCGACAGCTCGGCTTAAAGCCGTCGGGTCCAGCTGCGCCCACATTTAGGGTTTGGTTAAACAGATAAATTATAGGGATTGATAGGAACTACTTAAGTTTGGTGCGTTGAATAGCTGCAGTGTTTCTATTTTCTTCCAGCCTACACTGCCATAACAGTTGGATGACAGAGAAAAAAAAAGATCATTTTAATCATCTTCAGCTCGTCTCCAAACTAGCTTGTTATTAACTTCGTTTCTAAATAGTCTTGAAAAGCCTGAACATGTTACATATTCAGTCTGCATAAGTATTAAGAATAAATGGAAATATGTTTGACTTTTCCCTTATTCATTTATAAAAATAATTTAAAAAAAGGGAAAAATGTCTGAAAATTGATTTATTTAAATGAATCTCTATGCTTTCATTGGCAACAGCACAAATCAACAAGTTATTGATGTTTTTGAGTTATTCACAAAACCCTTAGATAAATGTACACTACTTAAAAAATCAACAAAGGGCAAAATCACCCTAATAAATCAGGACTGTAGTCTGGTTCTGTGTTGTCTGGACTTTAGACAATGGATTCATTTATGATCCAGAAATGAAAGGATCAGATCACAAACTGCTCTAAAGAATATGCATTTAAGGTTTTTAAAAAAAACAAAAATCACTAATACGCTTTCATTTCATGTTTTAAAATATCTTCAGTATGTGCAGATTTTCCTTCGTAGGTTTCACATTTAATTTATCTTTTTGTCTCTATTTTACTATTCAGTTTTTACCTTTTTTATTCAATTCTGTGTTTTAGGGTGAATTGTGCTGGCAGCAGTCATTGCTCTGTGTTGTAGTTCTGTCAAAGGAACTAGGATTTTGTTGCACTGTGGCCAAACTACAAGGCTCTTGATGCAGCGTTGCTAACAGCGCCGTTGGAAGACATTTTTCACACAGCATTTTACACACACCCGCAAAACAAAACTCTACATGACACCGTCTTACTGTGTTTTTGATTGGATTAGATATTTTTATTATCTAATCCACTACTGATTCCATTAGAAGGGAATGTTGGTCCCTCTTAAAGAAATTGGTTGAATGTCTGTTATAATGCTTACTGTACAGACATCTGTGTAAAAGCTGTTATTGTTTGGTATCATGCACTTGTTTTGAACAGCTATGCCCAAATCTGATTCATACGCCTCTCAGATAGAGACTAAAAGTGATTTACAGTCACCAGGTCCTGTCTTCATGTCTGCGTTTAGCAATACTCGCTCCATTTTTGCCATCTTAGTAACTTTGTCGCTATATTTAACAAATTTTCAGACAACAAAATCGGTGTCGACAGGTCAGGCTTTTCTTATTGGTGCTGACCAATAATATTGTCTGATAACCAAAAGGTGATGAGACAATATACAAGGGAGTTTTTTTTAGATTTCTTGTTAAAATTTAAAAACAGCATGTTGAAAATAATTTATAACCTCCTCAGTAATCAGTGGAGAATCCTGCACTGGCATTTCAGTAATCACAGCTTTTATATAATTCAAGTTTTCTCTTCGTTATTATTACTTCCTCCCACAAAGAACACACTGATGAGATCAAAACTTTAAATCTAAATCTACCAATCGTATGAACACATTTTGGTTTAACTCATAAATTAAAATGATACTAGGCTGAAAAAGTCATAAATACGACCTGTTGAGACTCTGTTTAGTGTATGACAACTCATAAGTGTCCAGATCCAGATGCTAGTAAGTTTAGCATTGTGCTAATTAATGAGTTGAAGAACAAGTATGTAATAAAAGTGAAAGAAGGAAATGTTTTACACCCAGAATGTTCTCACATTGGCTTGAAATTTTACTTTTGTAGGAACACTGTAAGCTGGACTTCTTATTCTGGAAAATAAGTAAAAGTTTTCACTACTGTAATTTATTAAAACAAAACTCATTCCTGCAACTGTTCATCATATTAACAGATGCAAAAAGGAAAGCCTTACTGCTTTCTATTTTAAAAAGCCCCAAAACATTCTTGTCCTCTAAGTCTTTCCAGCTAAAGTGACAGAGACTCAGAAACAGTAGTTAGGAAAACAGAAAACTGATCTCCCAACACACCAACTTCTGCATTTCAACAGATAAAATACTCTTTTATACGTGTTCTAACTTGAGTTCAGGGACAGCCACATATTCTTTAGGGAGTACCTGAGAGAGATTAAAAAAAAAAAGTTCAAAGTCATCCGGTTACCACCTTCAGTTTAGAGAGCGGTGATTGGCCTCTCATGCTGGACGTCACAGACGGGAGAAAACCTTGGTAACAAATCGGCCCAGGTCAGAACGCTGACATTTCTGGCCGGAGTGGCCCTTCGGCTCCACCGACTCACAAAATCTCTCTCTCCTTGTAAAATCGAGCCGCTCGCCTGCTCTGCTTCTTCCCGAGGAAGCGTAGCCCCTCGGTGTGGTCTGGTTAATGGCAAATGAATAATCATAACACAGCGATGGCAGACGGGGCTGTCATCGATCTGTCTGGAGACGGCCCCTCTCCGCCTGCTGCATCAGCCACTCTCCCCCTATTGATACGCTCTTGCCCCTTGACCCCTGGGACAGATCAATAGCATCGATTGGA